AATGCAATAGCAGAAGAGTGCTATGAAGTTAGTGAGAGTCACGTTGCAGTTCAGTTGCGCTCGGTGCTAACTTCACAATCACCGGCAAGTTTGGAACATTTGGACCGCTTACCGCCACCGCTCTTGCCACACACCACCCCGTACCACGGTAGACATCGGTGAAATGCGTGAGTTTTGGCAATTCGGCGGTGATTTACCGCCGGGCGGCGGCGTGGTAGGGAGGGGCGCATAAATCATAACTTATATCCCAACCTCAGCGACGACGCACCGGCCCCGTACCGATTGTTTACAGTTCTTATTTGATTCGATGCGTTCTAATTCCGATTTCGTCATCGGCATCGAATTAAAATGGAATACCTAGCGAGTTTGGGAAACAACTGATCTTTAGGTAGGCAACTTGGTAATGCGGTATTGGGTGGCGCGGAGATCTGGTTATGCTGGTGTGTTCGAAAGAAAAGCATCCAATCCGCTAGTGAGAATTTTACCATATGCCTATACAATAGTTATAATTGAACTCTATGAATGGACAAACTGCCTCGCAATTTCAAAAGTAGATTTTTGAAAAATCTTGAGATATTAGTGTTGAATTTGTCTGTGAATCGTCCTTTTTGACTTTTGATTCTAATGGTAGGTAAATCTAATAGTAGTAAGTGCTGGGTACAGTTTGCATATATATATGTATATATGCACTATAACCTATGAACTTATTAATATCAAGCTCGATATAAATGATTATTTAAAATATACTTAGTTTAAATTATCATTTATATTGAGATTTCATTAGTATTATACCTAAAGAAAGTAAATAAGTATATCCTGCAAATCTATGTGCTAATATTGTTAATTGGAAATTACCTCTGTTCATCCGAGTGTTACACTAAACCGATAATAAACTATTTTGATGAATTTTGGTAAAGAAATACACTTATCTACTAAGGTATTTGCAAATAGATCAAACAATGTTTGTGTCGAAGGAAAAAAATCTGGAATTACAAGCACAGAACTAGTAAGTTAAAAAACGTAGTTTCTGCTTGATTTTTATATATCTCTTATCTATTAGACAATAAGACAAGTCCGTCCGTCCGTCTGTCTGTGGTGCTGTTTCAGCGGCCAAACCGTAAGAGATAGATAAAGAGAATGTTTAAGTTATAAGTTAAGAATAGTCTGATATGACTACAAACCGGATTTGAGTAACGTAGCACTTCCGGTTTTCGAGAAATCACGAATTTCAAACGAAACCACACAAAATCTCCTAAGTTCTCAATTAATTAAATACTTTTTTTTTAAATCAGGTTTTGGTGAACATTTTGGTTCACTGGTTTGCTAGTAAAGTAAATATTACTCCAAAAATCCTGTTTGCTGCCTGGTAAGCGTGTTTTTTTTTTATTTGTTAAATTATTATTGGTACGGTCACAGAAGTCAATGTGAACACATCGTGTTATTTTATCTTAAAAGGGTTGCAAACAGGCGTACGGCCGGCCTGTTGGTAAGGGGTAACCATAGGCTATAGACGGTTGCGATACCAAAAATATCACCTGACCCAATGAGGGCTACCGTTTTCTGCCGCACCAGATGGCGCCACTGTTGAGTGACGTCCTAAATTGTAACTTTTAAAGTTTATTAATACGCACATGAAATCAAAGGTTACATTTAGATCGTATTTTAACACAAAAGAACCATATCCTAAACATAATAGGCCATGCCACAGTGACGCGCAGTTCCGTTTTATTCGGAAAAAAATGGGAACATAATCACTTTTCTAAGCTCAAATTTTTAATAACTGACATTCATTGCCACATAACTCATATTTGCCATAATTAGGCCGAATTGTTACCAATTATTCACAACATTATTTTAATTACAAATAAACCCACGTAATAACCAACAAGCAATAACATTTGACATTTCGGAGACCTCACGCTACACTAGCGCCTCTAGCGGCGGATTCATACGCGATAGCCCTCATTGCCTACCCCATGAAGCCCTGAAACCTTACTCACCGACAGAAGCACAGCACCTTCAAAAGGTAGGGTTATATTACTGTAGTGTAAGGTGGACGTTGCTTCTCAAGACGGGCGCTCCAATTTAAGCGGGAAATCCGCTATGACGTACCTCTTTTTTGAAGTTATACTGCTTTAGGCGCGTTATGAAAAAATTATGAGAGTGAAATTTTAAGATGCGCGCGCATCACTGTAACACAAAATTTTACTTTTACTACTTTATAATAATACTACTTTTGTGTTTACCGCACATTAAGAAAATCTACCAACAAAATAGAAATAGAATCTCTATTTAGTGGGTGCTAACGACTGCATTGTGAAGGCCTATCAAAAGTATTTATTAATCTGGAACAACGGAACCAAAGCGCGATTCAGGAGACTACAGCGCCATCTCTTGACCATTGGTGTAGTAGAACCAAAAACCACATCTTTTTTTTTCAATGTTACTTTTATGTTATTATTGTAATAAAGTAACAGTTATAGGTATTCATATTTATAATATTTATCCACATGTTTCTAGTTTGTATATTCGAAATACGTGTTTGAGTTTCATACAAGTGCAAATCACATAATTATGTTCTAATATATTATATTCAGTAGCGATTTTAATTGAATATTTTGATTATTTATTTATTTTTTCAAATTAAAACTGAACTTTATTGACTGTGTCCTTTTCCAGACTTTTTATTAATTTATTGTAATTAATTATTTGCATGCAATTAAAAACTAATTTTAAACGATGCCAAAGAAGGATAACTTCTCACGCGCCTACATAAGTACACGCACCCATTTTTTTTATTTCTCCCAGGCGTGGGAGCGAGAGTGAAATCCTCATGGATACCCTACAGCCAGCTGCAAGGTTATGTCAGACTCCTACTGACTAAAACACACCCGTAGTATATGCTTATGGCCTGAAGGGCCTGACAAGCTTCATCTGAAGCGATTATCCCCTGAGAGGGGCATAATGCAGGACGTACCTCTCTTCAATTCTATGATTTATTCAACACTGCTTACTACACGCGACGCGGCCTTTAGAAGACCTCTCATCATCATCGGCCTCTTAATGCCCCCACTGTTGGGGCACAAGCGTGTGGATGGAATATGGAGATTGGGCAATGACAGTGCGGATTGGCGGGTGCTAACGACTGCAGATGCAGCCAGGACCAACGGCTTAATGTGCTTTCCGAAGCACGGAGGAATTCGAGATAGAAGATTTTTGGTCACCCATCCAACGACCGACCACTGCGAAAGTTGCTTAACTTCCACGATCGCAGCCGAACGCGCTAACTTCCTGCGCCATCGAGCTAGAAGATCTATATAAAATATTAATTTTACTCACTGTATTCTTACAGTAACATAGCGTTTTACCCAAAATAAAAACCGTTGGTATCGTATGTTTCCATAGGTATTGAAATTAATAGCAAATATTTCCAAATCCGTAGCCTAATTTAGGAATAAACATACAAAGTAATCGTTACAGTAAAATAAGTAATATGTTAAGTTTAAGCAATATGTAATACTAGCGGACCGCCCCCGCTTCGCTTCCGTGTAGAGCTGAAGTGTAGACTACAGTTTTTATTCTCAGGCTTGTATTATACACAATGACATTCAGCTATAATTCTTCTTATACCTGCATGCAAAGTCTCAGCCCGATCGGTTTAAAATTGACAAAGTTTCATACAAACTTTCATTCCCTATTTTATCCCCTGGGGGTACAATTGAACAAAATCCTTTCTTAGCGGGTGCCTACGTCATAACATCTACCTGCATGCCAAATTTCAGCCCGATCCGTCCAGTGGTTTGGGCTGTGCGTTGATAGATCACTATGTCAGTCAGTCACCTTTGAGTTTTATATATATAGAAGTAGAAGATACTTTCTCGAACAGGCTCCAATTCAAATGGGAAATTACGATGGCATATCTCTCTTGAGGTTTTTAAAAAATTTTGAGTTAGATTATAAGCTACGTTATATTGTAAACACATCTTTTTATGTAATCGTAAGATAGATACACAGGTAAAGTACACAGGCATACATAATGAATCTTTGAACATATACCAGACAAAAGAATAACATTTCAAATATATTTTTGTAGAGGCGGTTTCAATCAAACTGCAGTGAAGTCAAAATATATTTTTCGCCACAAAACAATGTGTTTTTTTACTTTAAGATTTAAGAAATATATCAACATCCGCATTTTCTTCTTCTCAAACTTATTCAAGATATACTGAACAATGAAACATTCTATTTTTTATTTTGTTAAACCAACTATGAATACGTCAGTGTAATATCCCTTTGTCCGTTTATGTCGGCGGTCGAGGGGAAAATGTGGAAACTCGCCCCTGTGGCGGCCATCTTGTGACGTCATCGGCAACTACGAGGGACGTACTAAGGGTTACCTAACTAACGTAAGGTAACTTAATTTTTAAGAATCATTTTAGTCAAATTATACTTTTAATTTTGTGAAATGATAAATATGATTTCAGTCTCGTTTTCTTCACGGTTTTGGTTTATATTGTATTTCTTACTGATTATTTACTCCTTAAGTTTGGGCAACGGAGCAAAAGTATTTTTTTAATGTCCCACATTTAAGCTTTTTTTTAAGGAATGAAAACACTTGTTTTGAATTCCAATATGTATTAAAAGACGAAAAGCTTATTTCTATGGGTAACCTTTAGCGTGTTTCAGAACTTTCAAACTGCCAAGCTGTCTCACCTTGTAAACGTCAGCCCGGCGACTGGCATTCCGAAACTCACAGAAGCTATCCGATTTAAAACAAAAGACGACAAACAAAAACAACTACCTACTGCAAGCAAACAGAACAGACAGAACAACGCAATTGTTCGCAAAAATAAAAATATACGTCGCTCAGTGCGTCCCAGTGCACGCTTTGAGGTAGCCGACGGGCTGCGATTGGCGGACGCTGTTCAGGGGCGTGGCTTATCGAAGCCCCTCCCATCTCCGTTAGGGGCTCATGGAGTGAAGTAACCAAACCACATTGGGCGCTCGTCGTGGGCGCCACGCGTATCACACACGCATATAACCTAAAACACACGTGAATCCCAAAAGAACCGGTACCATAACGTTGTGACACTCAAGTGTTCAGTGATTAACTCGTCTACGAAAGACCAAAAGTGTTTACAGTGCTTACGAATAATGAAGGTTTTACTAGGATTCTTGAAGTAGCAGCTGAAAGTGGCTGAACCAGTGGATATTGATTGACGAAGTGACCTCTAGTGGTGGCGCTTAACTCGAATTGTGTTATGTAAAGAACGGACGACGTAAACAAAATATCAATCAAGTGATAAATACTAAACAACTTTAGAAGTGATTTCCAAAATTCTTCCAATAAGTAAATTCTTGCGTTTAAAAGCTCAAATAATCTTCCAGCAATCGATTTCTCCTAAATATATCACAAGCATAAATATTTAATAAACAATAATCAATTTAGAAAATTTTATTACGAAAATTCCAAATATATTTTTTTTCTCTCTAAACTTAAATTGTTTTAAGGTTGAACTTTTGAATTCGGAGTCAAAGTGAATTAAAAGAGATATCACGTAACCAAAGAATGTATCTTATTTTCTATGTATAACAATTATTTAAGTCAGCGATGCTCAAACTAACAGATTCAATAACTGTGTAATTAGAGAAAAATGCAATAATTAGAAATTTGCTATTTTTAACACAAAACAAAGCAGTGATATAAAGCAATACTTATCGGTTTTATACAAACGTATCTTCAAAATATATGGTGTTAGAAAAAAATATTTTGTGCGAGGTTTTTTTGTGAATAGTAAATTTTATTCAACATAATTAATCCAAGAAGTGCAATATTATAGGATTGTGGAAAGAGTCATTTTTAATTTAAAAATTAGTGTTTATGTGAATTAATAAACCGAAGCCCCAAATGTTGATTCGAAGCATTTCCAAATCAAGCGTTGGTCAAAAACTATAATAATAACAATCTTGATTAATCAGGGGCAACTAAGTAAAAAAATCATTCACCGGTAGAGCAAAATCAGGTCCCGGACTGACCAGTAAGGCAGTGATTGTACAAATTTGACTGAGACACAAAAACTGAATTATAAACCAGCAAACGCCAAATACACTCTTATTGGCTAAAAAAACACCTAAGTAACTAAAATCCTATCAAATTGCAGCGTTTGACAGTCAACTTAAACGCCAGCGGCTCTAAAACTCCAATCGACAGCCCCTACTGTATTCAATGATACCCTGACAACTGATTTTAAATCTAAACTTTGCAACCGAACCGACTGAATCCCTACCAAGCTGCAGCCTTCCACAATCAAACTGAAATCCAGCGCACCAAACTGCAGTCATTAACGCGTAGATTAAACACCAGCGGTTCTCAAACCTCAACCGACCGCCCCCCGCGTTCAAAACGACGCTGGAACACGCGGCCGCATTCAATGACGCCTTGGAGCCGATAGCGGCGGGGGTCAAGCTGGCGGCCCCCGTGCGGTTGTGCGGCGGCTGGGAGCAGGCCGGGCCCGGGGTCGGGGCCGGGATGGGGGCCGGCGCCGGGTACGTGCTCGACGGCTGCTCCGATACGGCGCTGCTCCGACCGCCGCAGCCGCACTCCAGCCAGCTGGGGACCGTGTACGCTACTAAAAGGAGACGGAGAAATGGGAAAAGGTATGTACTAGATAATAATAATAATAATCTGTCTTAAAAATCTCTTCGGTGGTGTCGTGTGAGGCGGTACGTTACGTTCCCTAAAATATGGTTGAGCGAAGCGATGGCTGGTTCATGCGTCGTGAACGGGTGTTGCCAGCGGAGATGAGTCTGGCCTGACTACTTTGATATTTAAGATGTAAATGTTTAGTTACACCTATTATAAATAAGTCTGTTTGTATTAATACTGTGTGACACAGCAATCAATCAAAATGGTTGTAGTCCTTAAGAATAACAAATCCATTTTTTAATCCAACCAGGCTAGCACAAATTTTGTGCAGATTACCCTAGAGCGAAGAAATTACCCCAGGGGTATCTATATTTTTGAAGTTATACTTCTTTAGGCGCGTTATGAAAAAGTGATGAGAGTGAAATTTTAAGATGCGCGCGCATCGCTGTAACACAAAATTTTAACAGCATGAAGTTGGTCGCTTTAGCGACCAACTTCATGCGTTACTTTTGTGTTTACCGCACATTAAGAAAATCTACCAACAAAATAGAAATAGAATCTCTATTTAGTGGGTGCTAACGACTGCATTGTGAAGGCCTATCAAAAGTATTTATTAATCTGGAACAACGGAACCAAAGCGCGATTCAGGAGACTACAGTGCCAACTCTTGACCATTGGTGTAGTAGAACCAAAAACCACATCTTTATTTTTTGTAATAAAGTAACAGTTATAGGTATTCATATTTATAATATTTATCCACATGTTTCTAGTTTGTATATTCGGAATACGTGTTTGTGTTTCATACAAGTGCAAATCACATATGTTCTAATAAATTATATTCAGTAGCGATTTTAATTGAATATTTTGATTATTTATTTATTTTTTCAAATTAAAACTGAACTTTATTGACTGTGTCCTTTTCCAGACTTTTTATTAATTTATTGTAATTAATTATTTGCATGCAATTAAAAACTAATTTTAAACGATGCCAAAGAAGGATAACTTCTCACGCGCCTACATAAGTACACGCACCCATTTTTTTTTAAAGTTTGGGTGCTTGTGTACCTGATTTGTAAATCCTGTAAATTTTCTAAGCAATGTTAAAACAATCCTTGTTCAAATTATCAGTAATTCATTAATTTTTACTATAGTTTTAAAACAGTTTTTCTATTAACAGTCAAAATCGAAAAAGCAATATTCATTTATACAGGTTAGGCTTTAGGCCAACGGGTGCTAAGAGTTTGCTAGAGACGTGTGTGCCTCGGTGTAATAACTTGTTTACGTTTAAACATGTTGATTTTATGGATATTATAAAATGCTTTAACTCACTTAAAAAGAAAAATACGTGTGATTTGTTTGGAATGTCTATTAAAATTACTAAAAGTATAATAACAGTTATCGCTCCTTATCTTGCAGATATATTCAATAAGTGTATTGATCAAGGTGATTTTCCAGACCTTATGAAATATAGTAAAGTTATCCCTCTCTTCAAAAACGGCATAAGAGATGATCCCGGTAATTACAGACCTATATCAATATTACCGGTATTAAGTAAAATTTTCGAAAAAATTATTTTAGATCAATTATTATCGCATGTCAGTTTGAACAAACTGTTACATAATAATCAATTTGGCTTTACTAGGGGTAGATCAACAACGGATGCGGGTGTTGCACTTATTAGACATATAATGGAAGCCTGGGAGAAGTCGCAGAATGTTCTTGGGGTATTCTGTGACTTATCCAAGGCGTTTGACTGCGTTGAGCACCAGACGCTGGTGTTAAAATTAAATCACTATGGAATCAAAGGCGCAGCCCAAAACTTGCTACTATCGTATCTCAGTTCCAGAGTTCAAACTGTAGAGGTAAATGGTGTTAAGTCATCTGGATCTTATGTGAAAATGGGCGTTCCCCAGGGATCGATTTTAGGTCCGTTTCTTTTTTTATTGTACATAAACGATTTGCCATTTTTTGTGGAAAAATTGTGTGAGATCGTATTGTTTGCTGATGATACTTCTTTATTATTTAAGGTTGACCGATACAAGAATAACTTTGACGATGTAAATAATGCTCTCTCACAAGTATTGCACTGGTTTAATGTAAATAACTTAAAATTAAATGCAAATAAAACCAAATGCATTAAATTCACTTTACCTAATGTTAGAAGCGAAACCATTAGAATTAAATTAAACAATGAAAACCTAAATTTAGTTGAGTCAACGATATTCTTAGGTATAACCATAGACTCGAAATTGCAATGGTATCCTCATATTTCTCTGCTAGCTGGTAAACTTAGTTCAGCAGCCTATGCCATACGTAAAATAAGACAACTTACTGATGTAGCTACTGCTAGAACTGTATACTTTAGTTACTTTCATAGTATTGTATCCTATGGTATTATTCTCTGGGGATCAGCAGCCGATATTGAAACTATATTTATCTTGCAAAAAAGAGCTATAAGGGCTATTTATCAACTTAGTTCTAGAACATCTCTTAGAGAAAAATTTAAAGAAATCGGGATTTTGACTGTTGCTTCTCAATTCATTTATAATTGCATACTTTTTGTTCGAAGCAATATTAACTATTATCTAAAACACAATGACATACATCCTTTTAATACAAGGAATAAAAATAAACTCAAGATACCAAATTACAGGTTACAGAAGGTTCATAAATCATTTATGGGTCAAGGTATACATTTCTATAATAAGATTCCTATTGATATCCTTGATTTGCCTCCTCATAAATTTAAAATACACATTAAGAATTGTTTACTTAAGAAAGGATATTATACTGTCAATCAATATTTGAATGATAAAACGGCCTGGTTGTAATTTAACCTGTAGATAATTTTTCAAAAGTTATATTAAAACTAAGGCTCCCAGCCTTAGAAAGAGTTTTGAAGAGAACCTTGCACTTACTCCCTTTCATATACTTGTTCATTTTGTTTTGAGAATTGTTTCTTGCTATTTTGGGACTTATCTTTGCACTTATTGTTAGTAAATTCATTGATTGTTACATTTTTGACATTATGTGATGGAAGTTGACCTCAACACATGTTTGCAAGTTTGATGTCAACTTTCAATTGGACGATACTGTATGAAATAAAACAGGGAGAAAAAAGCAGCCCTTGCTGAGTTTCTTGCCGGTTCTTCTCAGTACAAGGTCTCCCGCCGTAGTTTTGCGAACCGATGGCGTAGCTTTTCGACATTCACAAGTGCTTGTAACAGCCTAGACTGAATAAACGATATTGAATTTTGAATTTTTTGAATTTCTTTTACAAGCATATGTGAAATTCATCGGTTCGGAAATCTACGGAAGGAGACCTTGTGCTGAGAAAACCGGCAAGAAACTCAGCATGGGCTGCTATTTTCTCCCTGTTTTATTTCATATTGTGTCGTCAAATTGTAAGATGACACCAAACTTATAAACATGTATTCATTCACAATAAATATACAAAGGCCCAAAATATGTTGTATATAATTTTCAAAACACATGAGCAAGTATATAAAAGAGACTTCTTATAGAAAGATTCTCAGTGATTGATCTAGTCTTGAGCATAGTTAGAAAGGGATGTCGCTATATATAGCACATAGCGATATCCCTTTCTAACTGTACTCAAGTAAAGATCAACACTTAGTTTTCATTCTGTAATAGGGGCTTAGTGCAAGGTTCTCTTCAATACTCCTATAGGAGAGACAATTTTAATACAATGTTGAATAATTTCTGAAAATAAAATTCTGACCAGGCGCTTTTATCATTCAAATATTGTTCATCAGCAGTAATATCCTTTCTCAAGTAAACAATTTTTAATATGTGTTTTAAATTCATTTAGAGTCAAATCAAGAATATCATCCTATTATAGAAATATATACCTTGTTGACCCATATATGATCCATGAAATTTTTATAACCTGTACAATAGTAACTTAAGTTTGTTTTTAGTCCTAGTGTTAAACTATGTTTGAGTTAAAAGTTAATATTGTTGCGAACAAAATGTATACAATTCTATATGAATTGCAAAGCAACGGTCAAAATCCCGATTTCTTTAAATTTTTCTCTGAGAGATTGTCTTGAGCATACTTGATAAATAGCTCCTTACAGCACGTTTTTGCAACAAAAATATAGTTTCGATATCTGCTGCTGTTAGAGAATAATCTAACTTAATAACTTATTAATAAAAAAATGTTTAATGGCTACTTAAACATAGTGCCATTTAAATAATTGCTTTTATGAAATATTAGGTAATTTTCGTGTCATGTCTCTTACATATTCATGGATTTGTCATTTCATTAACATCCAAAGAGACGTCTTCATATTTATTTGGGTACAGTAAATATTATTTACACTAATAATTATCTTAGTAGTCAAACGTCTCAATATAAATATGAAATCTATACGGTAGGTATAGATATTTTTTTATTTATCGGGGGAACGAAAACCTGTTTTATATGGGAAATTTCATATTCTCACTTCAAGGAAATACAAACTCGTAGCTAACGAACCTTTTTTTAAGTTATTTTAAGATCAACTAAAAGGTTCAATAATCGTAACAAATCAATTAACAACAATTGGTGATTCCGGAATCATCAAAATTTTACACAACTAATCTCCGTTTTCGTACACAATTGTGGGGAAATATAATATTTAATCCTTAAAACTTATGGTTGAAAATGCGACTGTTCATTGATATGTCAAAATTTGGTCGTTTGATAAAACCAAAGATCTTCAAATACTAGATGAGATTATTAAAAAAAGTTTTAGGCATTTACTAAAATAATATGTATTTATTGAATTTTCATTTTTCATCAATTTGATTTTAAAGGATTTAACAATATCTACTATTGACACTTTAATTGAAATCTGGGATATGATACTTGTATTTGAGTACATACTCTTTCGCTTAGAAAATGTTGTTGCCAAGTATTATTTTACCCTCAACATTCACAATTATATATAAACTATATTGACCTTAAAGTAAGCCTTGTGAATGACTTTTCACATTAAATAATATA